TTAAGCCCATTTTTACAAGTGTAAATATCTGTTATATAGCTTTATCATAAGAGATTTTTAGGTTAGTGTATAACTTAAATATTTTTATTAAGTCAAATCCATAAACTTAATTCAGTGACCTATCATGTAAAAATCTAATTTCCTTTCTGTTAAAAAGAGCTTCCCTGGGCCAGGAAGATAGCTCAGTGTACTAAGCACCTGCTTAGGCAAGCTTAGGCAAGCACAGAGACCAGGATTCAATCCCCAGACCAGCATTCCATGCTGGCCCTGCCCCTGGGCAACCAAGTCCTGTTGGTGGCACACACTGTAATCCCAGTGCTGGGGAGGCTGAAAACAGGAGGATCACTACAAGTCTGAGCTGCATAGTGAGACCCTGTACCAAATACATAAAATGAAAAAAAAAACAAAAAACTACCCGCTAGGCATTGTCATACACACCTGTAATCCCAACAGTTGGGAGGCTGAGACAGGAAGATTGCTGTGAATTTAAGTCATAGTGAGTTCAAAGCCAGCCTGAACTCTGCAGAACCAGACCTGGTCTCAGAAAAATAGAAACAAAAAATAAAGTAAAAATTGCTAGCACAAATAACTCATATTAAATTATATATTGAGTTTTATTAGCCTAGTGATGATTTTTAAATGTTTGTGAAGGAAAGAGTATCAAGCTAAGGAAGTACTGACTAGTGCTACTTCTCCAATACTCCCAATCCTCTGCCCCTCCTGTTTACTATAATTTCTGTTTGTCCAGGGGAGGGTTTGCAGCTGTCTCCAAACTTGTGCTGGAGATTCATTTACCCCTGAGGAGTGTATGTCTATAAAATACATGGGACAGCCTTTTTCAAAAATCAGGTATTGCCTGACAAGCGCAAGGTCCTGAGTTCAAGCCCCAGTACTGCTAAATTAATTAATTAATTAATCAGATAATTTCCTGTCTGATTTCTTAGAATTTTGGTAGGTTTTATTTCATAATATTTCACATATTTACACCAGAGTCATCTGTCTTTAATTCTACAGACATTATCAGCATTCCTTGTTACTGAATTGCCCATGGGTTGCTATTTCTCGGTCATTTTGTTAATAAGCTATAAACTATAATAACTACACTATTATAATAACAGCTAGAAATGTTAGTAGATTTTATCAGTTTAACACTCCACCACCCTTGATTAAAAACATACAGTTGGAAGACAGTGGGTAAGGATATCCTTCATTAATATCAAAGTACTCTGTAGATCAAATTTTTGTTTATGCAGATGATTTGAGAAAGCATTTAATGTTGACCTCATTTTGAAAAGAGTGATATAATAGCTTACTGTCTTTTGTATTATAATGCAGTCATTGTAAAATATAAAAGCAGCAAAAAACTGACAAAAGAGTATATATTTAAAACCAGTATTGAATAACTAAAGAATCAGTAATGCAGTTGCTGGTTTGTTACTATTGCTGATGAAGTACAGTGATATTTACAGTTCCAAAGAAGGGAACTAGTATTACCAGATGTCTCATACAAGTCGGGAATGGTGCCGCAAAGTTGGTCTCCTGTAGGCTGTCTAATTGGTTGGAAATTTGAAGAATGAGGTTGGAGGCCATGAGCTAATTTTTTTTTCCCCATGGGACAGTTTTGAAAATCAGTATTTTAATAAGTGATTAAGAGTCCTTTACCTAAGTTCCAGGGCCACTAGCCTGTGATTGATGTTCTCAGAGGATTTGCAAGCTTCCCCTCTCATGTCTGGCATGAGCGTCTGGTTCAGCGAGGCGACTCTTCCCCCCTTGCAGTCCTATGATGACACAGTGTGCTCCACACAGTGCGCTCTCATGGCTGACCTACAGGCCAGCGGTTTCTCTTGACTGTTCGCTTCTGACCACATGGTCTCCCTGCTTTTCTCCCTTACTCAGCCTTGTCTGCAATTCCTTTCCTAGTAACCTCATCACAGCCAATGGTTGAGTCTTTCTGTTGACTCTTACAACGAAATGAGAGGCAGTGATTGATAAGGTACCCAGTTCCAAGGACAGAGGCATCAGCACATCCTGGGGGCTCTGCCTGTCTCCACCTTCGGGCCTCCTTGTAAGTTTTCATATGAATTTATGGCATTTCCTTCCAGCTATAAACTCCTGAAGGACAGGATATTCTTAACCCTTCTGCTCAGAGTGCCCTTGTTTGAGGATCCATAGGTACAGTTCAGTGGTAGAGTGCTTGTGTAATATGTTTGAGGCCATGAACTCAATCTCCAACACAAAATTGTGTGTATGTACACACACTTGATTGAACAAACATTTGGTTTGTATTGAAGTTTTTTCATTTATATTGAATTGAAGATATGCAGGATTGAAGCTATGGTAATAGTTTCAGAGTATTGGCCCACATAGTAAGTTGTCGGTTACCATTTGCTGTAAACACCTTTATATTCCAGGACTTTCTTTACCCTCTGTTATTACATGTCTAGATAGATTTCCCTTTACAGCCCATTGCAAAACCTGAATGAAGGCAAGACTTAAAAGGCTGTATAATAATAATAATAATAACAACAACAACAGAAATAATAATTGTAGTCCCTTGGATTGTAACCAGTATGAAGGCAGGGACTCCAGTTAATGCTCTTCTCTGTCCTCAGTGCCTAGTAAGTGCCTATAGGTTATTTTCTATGAGAGTGGGTAGAATATGGCGGAGACATGGGTGTTAATTGTAACTACTTCCTGTGGCCTTCAGTGAGAGCTGCCCATCGCAAGTGAGTGTAAGCTGGTAGCTCTCTATTAGTATCATCAGCTGTGCTCTAAAAACAGTTGCTACTGGGCTGGAGTTATAGCTCCGAGGTATAGTGCTTGCCTAGCAGCCACAACGTTCAGGCTCCCAGTCTCCAGGAAGAAAAAGTTTATGCTGACAGTAATTCATTTGGAAGGATGACAGTCTCACCATTTCCATTACTTTTACTGATTTTCACTGAAATGAATTTCTAACTGATAGCAAGATAGGTCGTCTTACTGGGAAAGAGCCTGTCCAACAGGAAAAAAAGGGACATCTCAGAAACAAGGAAGTTGGTGCTAGTGGCACCGTCTAGCATCCCTCACAACTGTAACTTTCTTCTTTAAGGCTTAAATCTGACCAGAAGAATAATTTTATTTCTAATGACAAATGTGCTAATAAATTTGTTTGAAAGTCTTCTGTCACTTTATAAAATAGTGACCTTTTTCTGGATGACTGTTCATCTGACAAATCCAGCCTGTGTGCCTTTTACTGGGGCACAATAATGATGCATGTGTCTGCTCCTTCTGTTTGCACCTCACGCTACCATTTGTCATTGTCCAGCTACAGTGCTATTTGTCTGCCTCAGCCTAATATGTAAATCTCTCCTGCGTGTGAATGTGCTGTGATGCTGTGTCTATCTCTTGTGTCTCATTTGATGTATCTCATACCCTAATACATTTGGTATGTAATAATAAATTCTAGTTCGGTTCTGGCTTTGTGTCCCATTTTAATTATTTTAAGTAAGAAAAGTAGGATTATATCTTACATTTTTGTATCATGTGTGTGTTTATGTTCCACATATTCAAGAAGTTAACTTAATCCTATAGGTACAAAAGAAAAATAAATAAAATTTGAGTTAACATTAGGATGATTTTGTCTACATCACCTTTCATATATACATAACTTAAAATAATGGGGAAAACTATTTAGATTACATATTCTTTCCTTGAATCAGGGTTGATAGATAGGATCTTTTGTTTTTCTGTTGGTTTAAGTTAAAAGCTATCTGGAACTTATACTACATTAATGTGACACATCCAATGACTGTTTTGATAGATAAGCTTATAAAATCAAAAGAAATGAACAAATAAAATAATTCACTAGTTATAATTGAACCTGCAAAATACATGCTTTCTGGATAACATAACTTTGCAGCATACAATGAACATGAATAGTGTTTCACTTAATGTTGCTCATGATAGAAAGAGATAATAGGGCTTGGAAAAAGTTACAGGAAAAAGCCACAGAAAGGAAGGAAAAAGGAGGATGTTAGTGGAAGTGAGATCACTAAGATTGAAGTTGGGGACGGCTTGATTGCAGCACTGCCTGTGGAAACTCTCCCAGCATGACTGCTAGTTCCAGTCACATGTGCCCATTGCAAAGCACGGGCAGGTGCAATTATACTTTGTAGATAGAGAGGTTGAGACCGCGGAAGAGTGGGCAGTGTAAGGTCCTCAGCACACTGAGGCAGAGGGCATTCCGAACCCAGGTTGGTAAAATCTGTATCCAGTGCTGTTTTCTCTACCTGACCCTGTGTCTTAAGGAACTGAAAATCTATGTGTAAACTGGCTTGTTACCCTTTTCCTATTCTTGATCTTGGTGCCTTTATCTCATAATTATTTTGCTCTGTTAAGTTTGCCTGCATTTGTCTGTCTTGTACATCAAAGCATAGGTTTAATATTTTTATTACTATATTTAGCAAACTAATTAGCAAGCAAGTCCGGTACCAGTGCTGGTGTTAGCTCACACTCAGTAACTTGTACCTGAAGCTCACTTTGAAACAGATGCTGTGCAATCCAGGCATGGGTGATACTGTCCTGTTTTTGTAATCCAGGTTGAAGCACAGAGAGATCACTTTCTCTTCCTGTGGTTGCCATAGTGTAGGATAGAAGTGGCAGGGTTGGAACCCTGCCTTTTATGGCTGCAGAGCTCCTGGCTCTCAGCATTAGAACTGTATTTCCCATCAGTGTCAGACAGTGTTCTGATGCTTCAAAAGAAGTGGATGATTAAAAAGTACAAATTATGCATCATTTGTACCCTTATTGCACAGACAGACTTAGTTAATAACGCGATGTTCTAACTCGATAGCCCTGCAATAGTAGTGTCATTTTTTATAAGGACAACTTCAGAAGTCATTGAAGCCACAGAAGTCATTGAAAGTATTCTTCTCACTCATTATCTAAATGGGGGAATTGGATAAATGCTATTATAACTTTTTCAGACTGTATGTTAATTAAAACCTGCTGTCTTTTTATAGTATAAAGATGCATTTATGAAAGCAAATCCTGGCTACAAATGGTGTCCTACCACAAACAAGCCTGTGAAATCACCACCACCCACTGTCAATTCACGAAAGAAACTTTGGGCCTTCCCCTCCGATTCTTCAAGAGACTTACCAAGCCCCAAGAAAGCAAAGACTGAAGAGATGCCTCAGCTTAACTTCGGCATGGCTGGTGAGTTTAGACCCTGTCTCTACTAGTTAAGTACAGAGCAATGCATTTAGTCTGTGTTTTTAGTAAATAATACAGAGTTGGGGAACAAATTTATGACCAGTACAAAGCAATTGCAAGTTTATGTAGCATATTTTAAAGCACTGCAGGATGACGTGCCGAAGACTTATATATAATTAGAGAAAGGAGTTACAGACCAAGTTACAAACACACAAGAATGTCTGACATTGATAGTATGGAAAAGAAGGCAGCGTGGGGACTGCCAGGAGAAAGGGGACTTTGTGATGTGAGCACTGTAGCTCATACACCAAGCACCTTAGGTATCGCGGGTGTGTAAGTAGCCACTGAGCTCGCCAGATTGTCTCTAGAGTACAAAAATGTAAACAGCTCCATCAGATGTCTGAGATGGATCTGAAGTTGTCTGTGGCCGAGCATTTTCATCCTCTCCCCTCTTCCCATCCAGACTCCTATGTGGGCTAAACTATTTAAAATTCTAGATGGCTCCACTTAATGTAGGACCTTAATATGCTCTGGGTGGTATGAAGTGTTCATGCATTTATTGCCATGAAATGAAACATGTATCTTCACCATACAAAGGATTTTATCTTCTCCAGCTTTTGCAGTACAGTAACCAGAAGAAGAATATGGCTAGGTGTGAAGGCATGTGTTGTAATGCCAGCTTCCCAGGAGGCTGCGGCGAGAGGTAGCAAGTTGATGGCTATCCTGGAAAACTCAGCAGAACCCTGTCTCAAAATGAAAAATGAGCTGAGAATGTACCTTGGTGCTCCAAAAAGAGGGCTTTGCCAAGAGGAAATTGGGAGACTGGGATTGATAGACTCAGCTGAGTTGGTATTGAACCATAGGCTTCCTCTTTCATATTATGGGCAGGTTTTGCTTAAAATGAGCATTCAAATCATTTGCAAAATTGGAAAAGGAGGTTGTCCAATACTGTGATGACACATTTTTTCAAATAGCCAGTAGATCTAGCAAGACTTAATAGTTTTTCATGTGATACACAATAAAAAAGTATGTTAGTATATAAATGGTTAAAAAAAAAAAAAAGAAAAAATGAAGCTCTGATACTTTGCCAGCATTTGGGGATACAGAATGCTGAGGTGACTGCCCTGCGGGTGTACGTGGGCTAGCTCCAGGTGAGGTCCCAAAGAATCAAAGAATGGAGATTGGCTTTTGTTTTAGCTGTCACTTTAGACAATTTTAGCTTGAACCCACTTTCACTAGATAGGTTTAGTGAGCTCTCCACACTTCCAAAATTGCTTCATTTGGAGAATTGTTTAAATATTTTATTATCTCCATCAAAAAGTATAATACAGATAACCAATTTTTAAACTGAATTTTTAAAATCATTATTTGGTATCTGTTACTTTGCTTCTCTCAGTTCTAAATCTAGATTAGGATATTTTTGCATACAGCTGTTTGAACACCAAACAATAATTATACAAAAACTACAGAAGGCTATAAAAATGTCTTTTTTGTAATGTGGCTTCTGACACTTTATTAATCTGCATCTTATCTATAAAATGAAAGCAAAACCTAGACTTCAGCCAAGATCTTTATAGCTCAGCTTTTGAAAACAATGCACTTTAAAGCAAAGTGCAGCAAAAAAGGGAAAACAGCTTCCTGAATCTTAAGTCATTTATAATGTTCTCTGTCGTATTTTGGAAATCTGTAATCAGACCTCGTGTTCAGATTGTGTAAAATGAAGGTAGTACTGGTCCAGTATTTCTAGTTAGTCCCTTTCTCAATGAGGCGAGAGTGAATTAAATTGCCTTTAGTTGAAACTTGGCGAGGCTGGCGAAATAGGTCAGCGGTGTAAAGCACCTGCTTAGGCAAGCTTAAGCAGGTACAGGGAACCATGGTTCAACCCTGGGCACCACAGGCATCAGCCCCACCGTCAGGGTAGGCAGGGCTGGCAAAAACAAACAAACAAAAAACTTGGCACTTAGCTCTCTTCAATTTAAGGGATACCAGAAGCATTGCAAAGGTCATTAAGTTGTTCTCAGCGTATAATCTTGTTTAGTTTTCTTTTGTTTGCTCGCTCTATGGTCCTTGTCAGTTGATATTTTGCAGTTCAAAATAGTCCCCCAAGTGTCAAATGTATGATTTCCAAGAAAGGAAAACTGTGTAAATTTTAATACAGTAAGAAACTCTCTCAATAAAGGGAAAGTATGCTGTTTATGTGAATATACTTTTGATAGTTTTAAGACAATGATAATTTCAAGCTTTTTGTTATATAATCACATTGTTATAATTTAAATTATATAATCATATTTCTATTTTACTTTGTAATTAGAACTAACACGTATCTTTAGAAAGCTCTCATCCAATCCCTTTGATTTCTAGTATGATATCTACAAATCACTGTCAGAGTACAAAACAACTTTTAGTTCCTGCTAAATTTATTTCCCCCTCACTTTTGTTTTTAAATAGGTGTAAGTATACATTTAACAGTCACAATAGTTCTTAGACAATCCATAATTAATATTGGAATCTTAGCACGGGAGAGTGTTGTTTCATTAAATCAGCCTATGGTTGCTGATAGCGTGTGTCTTCATAATTCATTGTCTTCCAACATTGGACTACTTGTATAGCTAATCATTTGATGGCATTTCTTTGTCATTAGCAAATTCATAATCTCCATCCATCTATCCATCCATTCATTTTTTAGTTTACCTTTGATCTCAGAACCTTTTTGCAATATGCTTCATTAATTTTTAAAACAGGTTAGGTAAGGACATGTACTTAAGGTCCTATCTTTCCAGTTGTCCTCAGACAGCATTACAACTGACTTCACACGTGAAAAGAGTCCTTAAATACGCATTTATTGTACTGTGTGCACTGGGGCAGGCATTGACTTGGGCATTTTCAGATACGTTCTTTTATCACAGTACTGGATTTTCATTTATTTAAACAATTTTAAAGAATGCAAGTGTTCTGTTAGCCGTAATACTGTCTTTCTTTAGATAGAAATATTGTCTTTCTTTTGTGTTTTGAAAGAATAAGAACAAAGATCTTAGGTGACATGAGAAAAATTAATTTTAAATCTTAAAGTTATTTTGAACAAGAGTCTGACTGCCCCTAGGATTTTAAAATGTCTGAACTACATCAGTTCATTTAAATTTATTTTGAAAAATTTAAAGAGATATTATTGAAAAAGCCTCCTAGATTTCAGAGGCCAGTTTGGAAAGTTTCTCAATCTTCCCTAGTTCTTTGTTAACCTGGTTCTCTTCATTCATCTTGATTTCATGGGACAGAAATAACAATTTGAGAATAACAATCCTGTACTTCTTGGAAGACAAATGTAGGTATCCTTTTGCTTAAAAGGAGTCTAAGCTGTGCACATAGAAATAAATCGCTTGTTCGCAGATCATTCACACTATAAAGAGGCATCGAAGCTAGTGCCCTGCTGGAATGATGCTGCACAGCTCACACAGGTGTGGGCACTGCACACACACATGCCAGTTTATTGTTACAGGAAAATGTTAGGAAGTTTTTCCATTAATATTACGTGTGATTCTGTTGGGTTTCTGTCCTTGGCTTTCTGTGGATTATGCACACTCCATATGCTTGTAAGTCGGTGATTCCTGTATTTTCTTGCTTATTAGATCCTACTCAAATGGGAGGCCTGAGCATGCTGCTGTTGGCTGGAGAACATGCTCTCGGCACGCCGGAGGTAAGCCAGTCTCTCACCCCCTTCCACCTCCTCGTGCCGGGCTTGAGAGCACAGACATTTGTGCTGTTCCCAGTATTTTGCAGCTCTGCTGTTTATATCTCATGAACAAATTTATGTATAATTGTTTCTGTTGTGGTCTAGCTTTGCATTGGTGTGTTGAGGATCACAAAACTGTGTACATAAGCTCAAGAAGACACAAAGATAAATCGAACACAGATTTCAAGCACCTCTGAACCCAGGAGTAGGGAATGCAATGTACAGATAACTAACATTTGCTGTGACCATGTCGTGGCTACGTAGATTGTGAATTCACTTATTCTACTGAAAACATTTCCTGCTTTTATGATGTGCCATTTAGACTTTCTAGGAGGGGAAATGATAGTAAGAACTTAAACTATGAGTCTCTAATATCTGGATAATTCTAAATTCCTATTTTGAAAATCTGGAGATGTGGCATTGCAAGGTTGTTTTATTCTTTAAAATGTAAAAGGAGGGTTGGCTCTTAAGACCTTGGTGTCATAATCTGGTTGTTTGGACTGTACCTCCTATGCATTTGTAGGGGTGACTTTGGTGGAGAGCTACCCACAGGTGGCTTGCTTGCACTTGTAGAATCCTGTTTTCTGGCCTCACTTACCAGTGGCCAGTCATGGTAACCATATTAACAATCATATTATTTTACCACATTTCAGGTCTTTGGTAAGGAACTTTGTATTCTTCAACCAGAATAGCTGTTTAGGGAAAGATAGCAGCTCAGTTTTATTGCAGATCTATATTTTTTACTCTTTTTGAAAAATTGCTAGTATCCTTTACAATTTAGAATTAAATCCTATTCAGATTTATAGACTATTTATGTCATATGAAGCTTTTATTGTTTATAGTTTATATCTGGGATCCACAGATGTTGAGTAATCCTCAAATGAAAAAATATCCATGTCGCTTTGTTCCATTTCATTGTCATTATTTAGTGTATTTGTATTCCTAACACAGTAGCATTGTCAGGCATCATTTCACTTCCTAATCCATGTTGCTGCCAATGACAATCAGATTAACTCACTTGAGTTTAGAGTATCCTCAGCAGGTTCCAAAGGTAAATGTTGGGATAAAAACACACACTTAGCCTTTCGCCAGAGTGTAGCTCACGTGATTTCCAGGAATGCATTGCATTGTGGAAGCTGGCATCATGGCTCTTGACAGATTAAATTGTAATGATATGTCATACCCAACATCTTTCACTACTCTTTTTAAATTTCCAGTGTAATTATATAACAAATCACATCTGCAGAGATTCTGGATGTCAGGTAGAGGAAAGAATGCTTTTTTCTTCCTTTTTTTCCCCATTTGCTTAAAGTTTTGCCTGTTGAACTCTTTTCAGTAGGAAGTTCTCCTACTGCCCTTTAAGACACACTTTTGATACAAGCAGTTGAAGCAGTGACCAACAGAAAATAACCTTGGCTAAACAGAAGGAAGGATGGTTTGGGGAAGTGGACAATAGGAGAAGTTGGGGGGAGTAATAGTACTGCTAGTAAAGTTTGGAGGGACCAGTATCTGTTCAGTTGAATGCCTGAAGCCAAATTTTCAGTGCATGGAAAGTGCCACAGACTTTGAGCTTTTGCTTTTTAGAATGCTTTGTGTTTGGATGAGCAGATAAATTGTTAAAGTTTTGATCAATCACCTTTTTGCTTTGTCTTCTATCCTGTGAAGTTGGAGCTAATACCATTTGCTCTCATATACCTCCAGAGACCACTATAAAGATTAATTAAACAAAACCCATCAGGCATTTTTAACGTTCCTGAAAAGAATTCTTCCAGGTATAGTATTATTACCTGAAGTCATTTTAAGCATCTCATACTTCGAAGCTTCCATTACATTAGGTGATGCATCCACAGACTGTAATAAGCCTCACTGGCAGCGTGTGCATGGCATGCGTGTGCACACACACACACACACACACACACACACACACAGCCTCTTGTCCACAGAAACCTCGTTATGGTTCTTTTAATCATTAGGTGCTTAAGAAGGAGACTATTAATGTCATAGTCTTGCAGATACTATCAATATCTGTGAGGTGGGGTGGCTGAATTGGTGGGGAACTTAGTGAAGAAGGCACTCCCTGATGACGGCACACCTCCTTTGTGGACCAGCCTGGAATAAGGTCACGTTGCATGAAGATTGAACATGTAGAATATTTTAACAAATCCTTTCTATGTGTGCAGATTATCAAGGAACAAAAGTCAAAAGTTCTGTGCCTGTACACAGCAGATATTGTCTTAAAGTTCAAGTTTTTAGACATAGCTGATTTTTCACATGAACCTTCAGCTTCAAAGGGAATTCATGATTTCTTGAGCTAAATTAGATTCTTCCTCTTCCCAATTCTTTATAACTCTTTCATTTTTAATATATGATAGCATGTGATTATATTTAGTTTTATATTTTGTGAACTCTAATAAAAGTCCTATACTTCAAACTGTGTTTCTCATTGTACTGTGTGTCAGTCCTAGCGCTAGGAGACGGTAAGCAACTTGAGATCAAGAGCAAAGACAAGACTTAAATTGTGCAGTGTTCCTTACTTTCCTGCAGAGTAGTTACTGCAATTAACCTTTCTTGAGCACTGTTTGTGAGCGAAGTGCTGTTTTTAAGTATATTATGTAAGAGTAACCTGTTCTAACACTGAAGTACGAGTTAAATCTTTCCTCCCTGTAAGAAGATATTAAATCAAGTAAGGAAACAGAGAAGGGGTAAATAAACTCCCTGTGATGGTACAGCTGCAAAGTGGCAGCACTGAGATTTGAGCCCAGTCTTTGTGTAGCCTCCAGGGATGTTGTGATTCAGTCCCAGTCCCTCGCCAGTTCTGGTCACCACCGTGACGTCCTATGCTGGCTGTAACCTTGCATAAGCTACAAAGACGCTTCATGAGAGCTTTCGGGGTTAGGCACTGTGCTCCTTGATTAACTCGTTCTTCTTCCCAAGGACACTATGCTGCCAGTTTACGATTTATTATGTCCTCATTCTTCAAGGTCATAGAGCAGAAAAGTCCTAATGCTAGGTTTTCAATCCACATGGTTTCCGTTAAATGATGAGCTAGACAATATCTGATGAGATAGTTGTAATAATTACTCCACAGGCCAGTGATAGAGCAGTTGATTGTATTCATATTTGTTGAATGATTACATACATAATTTAAATAGTTTTATTTTTTAATTTTTAAAATTTTATTTATTTATTTGCTACAAGATCTCACTGCACAGTTCAGACTCCTAGTGATCCTCCTATCTCAGCCTCCTCAGCACTGGGATCACAAGCATGTGCTGCCACGCTGCTTTCAGGGCCAGCACAGGGTGCTCAGGGTTCCAGGACCTGCACAGCATGTGGTTGTGGGGATTAAACTGTCCTTGCACTTGCTAGGCAGGCGCTTAGACTGCTGTGCTATCTTCCGAGTCCTAAATACAGTTTAAATTTAAAACAAATATTGACTTACATAGGCGAACTCTATAATAAAGCAAAAATTACAGTTTTTACTTTTTTATGATAATTTACCACTAGTTTACCCTTCTTATTAAAATTTTGGACATCAGTGAAATGAGAATTTTCCTGCCTCCTGGTACAACTTAGTTGAATACATGCCTGTCTTAGGCCACTATATTTGACTGCTCTAGGATACTTAAGTCCGTTGATTCCCAGCCTCCCTACTTCTAATTCACAGCCATCTCCATCAAAACTTTTATTTACTTCTCACAAATGTATACCTTTTAAACACACTTTGTAAAGAAATAGACTGAAAAGGAAATGGGCGTCCTGTGCTGTTCTCTTTCCCAGGCACTTAGAGCCCCCCACCCCCGCCGTGTCCCTGTTTGTTGAGCCTTTTAGCTCAAACCATCTTTCATCCACAGAGTGCAGACTGCTTCCTCCTGCCAGCGGGCGCACTGCATGCCTGTGGCAGTCCTGGGTCCTTCCTGAGGTCCAGGCTGCCTCGGGGAGCTTGTCTTTTGATCTCAGACGATGGGAGCGGACCCTCAAAAGTGAGCAGCAAGAGAGCTAGGGTAAGAAGAGTGGACCAAGAGGGCAAGAGAGGTGTCACTGCCGCGAGAAAGCTGCTGCTGCTGATTCCCACACTGTGTGTGTATTTGCCTAGCAGATGAAGACCTGAGACAGGAAGGTCCTGTCACTTGTCTGCAGTCATATGTAGAGCTGGCTGGGAGCCTCTCTGAACCCCCTTACTGTTTCTTTCCCACATGAATATAATAGTAGGAAATTTTACCCATGAAGTGAAATCAATACTCTGGAAGGCCTGATGTTCTAAGTAAAGCCAAGTTCTAGTCTTTTTGCTACATAGCATGACACAGCATTGTGCTTTGTATGTAGATGTCCCCCCAAAGCCTCATGCATGCCTGTGAAGCCTCCTGTACTGATAAGTGGGGTTCTTTAGAGTTGGGAGGATCAAGGGTATGTGGTACTGGGATTAAGGGTACTATTGTAGTCTATTGATTGGCATTAGCAAATTCAGGATGTGGCAGAATGAATTTACTAAAAACAAGCCTCGCCTGAGTGTGGGTAATATCACTTAAAAGACTTGTAATCTGGATGGGGGATGGGAGGGAAAGATAAAAGCAGGTTGTTGCTGCTGCTGCTGCCGCTGCCACTGCCTCCTTTTGTCTGCCCTGCTGTAAACTGTATCTCCTCTGTGATGCTCCTGTGCTTTAGAACCATTTGACCAGGGACTGAATCCTCTACAAACTGTGAGCCAAAATAACATTTCCCACTCTACCTTGTGGGCATCAGGTATTTTGTCTCAGCAAGAAGAAAAGCAACTAAGACGCATACCCTAATTTAAGAGTGATCTCTGGGTGCTATTCGATTTGCTCCCCATGGTAGCCCAAGACAAGTATCAGATATTTAGGTGCAGTGTTGGGGTCTTAGGTTCCCCTGTAATCCTCAAATGACATCCCTTGCTCTCAAACTATCTCTTCTCCTGAAAGACACTCCCTGCCCCAAACCATGCCTCCTTCCTCCTCTTAGCTCCCCTCTTTCAACTGTGACTTACTATAGAGACAGTGGCTTTATCTGACCCTTCCCCCCTGCTCTAAGATCCTTCCAGGCAATTACCAAGGGCTGGCAAGAACTATCTCTGGTTTAATTGGGGCCTGACTTCTCTGCTGCTGTGTTTCCTCAACCTTCTAATTGGTCTCCTATGTCCAGTTCCTCCCAGCCAAGGTCATCCTGCACACCTCTGACATAATTATCCAACTACACATCTCTCCTCATGCTGTTCCTCTGACTAGAGATCTTGGCTGGTTCCCCATTTTCTCCAGCCTAATTTTGAGACTTCTTAACATAGAATTCCACTTCCCTTTGGTCTAAGTCCTCTACACAACACTGTCATTGTATCCTATTCTTTACCCACACTGGGAAAGGCAGTTTCTCAAAAACACAGGCTACTTAGTTACCTCCATATTTTACCACCTGCTGCTGCTCAGTCATTTTCACACTTATTCTGGCTTTCCTCCTAGGATATCTCAGATATTACCTTATCTTCTTCTACCCACAAAATGAAAGTTGTTTCTCTGATCTCCTGTGTACCCTATAATATTCCATGGTTAGTTAGCATGTACATAATGTCTCCTGCATGCAAATTGCAAGGAGCCTAGGGGTCTGTCATATTCCCTGTGTCATCATTTTATTTCCTAGAATATACTAGGTAAGTGTGGAATTGAAGCTCCTTAAAAGTAGCAGTCTTCCTGACTTTTGCATAAGTGTTTATCAAATGAGCGAATGGTAACACGTGTTGGAATTAGCAAGAGTATAAATATATGACGGAGCCCAGGCATGCCCCATTTGTGACTGCGTGACTGCGAGTCTTGAGGCTTGCATGTAGGAACTGGCCCTTGATAATCTGTAGCTTCCTGTGTCACTCGGGCAGCATGACTGGCTTGATCCTGTTGCATATCAAGATGCTGCAATCAGTTCTCTATGTCTCTAATTTTCACAATCTGCATTGCTCCTGTGGAAAAAAAGTCACTTCATCATAATTCTTACACTAATCATTTTCCTTCCTTGGTTATTGAAAATTATAGCTAAATCAAAAAGAGTATTTAGTTTAAAGGAAGTTGAATATGTAGTTAGCAAAAAAAAATCCCTTTAGCTATTTTCGTTTTTGGGCATACAGCAACACCTAGTGGCTTTATGCATTATTTCATAGACTATTTCTAGAAATAGCTTCTTGGGTTTCTCCCCCTTTATTTTACCACTGCATATTTAATAACTTTTCTTCCTCAATTCAAGAACAAATGTGGTTGCCTTGGTGTGTTGTGTTATTTTTAGGAAGCAAGCTACCTTTAACATAGGAATGGATGTTGAGAAATTGGTGCATGTCCCACTTTATAAAAACAAGTGACTTAATATAGTTTGAAGGCAGACAGCAAGGTGTCCTAGCGTAGTACAGTTTCACAGTCTAGGACCTTCTGACTACTGGGGGTACTGAGATAGGAGGCTTTTGTGGAAATTCCTGTTTTGTAAAGATAGAGTCCTATATTACTTACTCAATGTGTACATTGTTGTATGTGCAAATATACACACCTTTATAGAGTGGCTTATTAAGCACTCCCATGAAATTTATTCTAAATTTGCTATGATATTGAGCCATTTTTACATTTCAGATTATGTTCTCTATACTTTTTGTATCTTCTCCCTCTGTCTTGTTTAGTCCTGCTACTTACATTGTTTCCTTTACAGCCCTCTGGTTTGGTTTGGTTTGTTTTGTTTTGTTTTAGAAAGAGTTGCCATGTAGTTCCAGGTGGCCTTGAACTCATTGTGTAGCCCAGGCTGGCCACAAACTCATAGTGATCCTTCTGCCTCGACCTCCCCAATGCTGTCTGTACTGGTTTATACTGCCACGCCCAGCTACTGCCTTCTTCGTTATTGTTCCCACTTTAGACCTCTATTTTGGCCCCTCTTGATTTACTATTTATATTGTGCTGTGAACCAGAGAACTAGGTAACCCAGTCAGGTAACTATGTAGTTTAGGAGATCCCTATCCTCCTGGCTCTAGTTTTGTACTGTTCTCATCATACTACCCTGATGATACATGCTAACTCTACACTGATTTGAAGTTACTGCAGCCAGATTTTGAGGGAAAACACAGTCCACTAGAGTCAGAAGCATCAGGGATTCCACCCACACTACTTGGACCATTGGAAAGCTTGTGTTGTAATTCATGGCCAGGTCACTGCACCTCTTTGTAATCACACACACACACACACACACACACACACACACACACCCAGAATCAAGTCTATCAACAGATAGTCCTCTATTCTTTCAGGTGCCTGGTGAGTACAGAGACATATGAGCAGACTTCCTTCATGAGTAGGATTAGAGGTGCCTTGATCATTACTTATATCCAAGTCTTCATTCAAATGTCATGACTTGATACATTATTGTGAGTCAATAATGTATAAATGATGTTAAAAGTTGAATTTTCTTCATGCTGTTGATAGGAACTCTTAGTCATATGTCAGTTTACTTCCTCACAAATGGTGTTTACCTTCCACAGTTAATGAGAGTGAAATAAGAATACAGTGGTGCACTGCACAGTGACCTAGTGACATTACAGTCCGCAACAGACTGCTGCGTGCTGTGGGCCCACGAGGGTGCAGCCGTCCTCGTCGCTCACGTGTGCTTTATGGTGTCCGCGTAGTGATGAGATCACCTAACTGCAGCTCACGTGCCCCTTGTAAAGCAGTGAATAGCTATCTATGTTATAAGGCACTTATGCAGAGCATATACCTTGAACATTTCACGCCAAGTATCTTCCATAGATATGTTACGCATATTAAGTCTTTTATTAAATTTTTATAAAGATATTTTATAATCTTCACTCAGTTCCAAGCTGGATTATAAGTCAAGTTTTGGTTATTTCCCTAAATATCCAGAGGCCAAATGCACAGGATTTCTTTGTAAACCGGGGAAGTGTAGTTTTTATATTATCCCTAAATTATAAAGATTTTTTCCAGCAAAGGAATTTCCAAACCTCTGTGCCTGCTAATCTCAGGATTGGTTAACATTCTTTTGAGTGTATTTTCTGTGTCCATGATGGGACATTTGGCTTACCACACCAAATAGTCAAGTGACGATAAGGGACTCAAATGTTGCAGCCAAACCTCAGGTAGCAAATTAATTAAAGATTCTGTACCTCTCTGTGATGTTTGTCACTATGAAAAGCTGGTCATTACTCTTTAAAAATCCAGAGGTGACAATTAAAATTTTAAATGCTTGCTCCTGGTCATTGGCCTGTGACACTGCTAGAAAAACACATCCTCCATGTGTAATGAAAGTTCACTGAGAGCTGTTTTCAGGAGCATAGCTGGCAGCTCTTCCCATAGAATGCAGCCATCTAATAGAATCACACATAGCTGTTAGAATTAAAAGTCTTGAAAATGAGCATTCATAACTGTATTGCAATATTTATTTTCATGGAAAGATCTACATATATAACAGAATATATAGAGAGAATGTTCACAGTGCTTATATTTGGTAGGTAACATTATAGGAGTATTTCTGCTCTTTTTAAAGTGTTTATATGGATATTTTTAGTTAGAAAACAAGTTGTTAAAATGTGTTTTTAACAAAATGAAAGACAACTATCTCTGCATAGACAGTCTAACACTATCATTCGAAAAGAACATACTGATTTGGGTTTTAGAAAACCTGTTGTACATTTTCATTAGTTCATTCAGCAAATGCTTATTAAAAATCTGTGGTGTACCCAGAGAGATTTGGAAATAATACATTAAACAAAACTCCTGGAAAGACGAACCATATATAAATATCTATGTTTGTGGTAGTATTAAAGAATAAGGGGACTATTGAGTAGTAGGGAGTGTGTCACTCCAGCTCTCTGGCCCCAAAGGTCCTTCATGTATGAAATGAGAGGATGTTGGATCAGGGGTAATTAAATCTGTGCCTCTCTAATATTTTGTGACTCCTATGACTTTTGCCTTACAGTTATCCAAGCGATCGCACCATCCTAGTGTAGAAACGGACGAGTTCTAGCATGGAGATCAAAGAGGAAATGTATATCCTGAGGAGAACACTTGATTAATAGAATTTTTTAGTGCTGTTTCAATGGCTGTTGTCAATGGTTAAGCTATAGTTAAGATAGGAGACTAAATGTTTACCAAATAGTAAATAATAGAAAATACCTAATAGAAGAGAAATTGCTTTTAAGTAAACGCTAAACTTCTTGAAATTAGGATTTGTGTTTTAAGTACATGAAAACCGTGGAAAACAAGTATTTGACATTAGTTTTATTTTCTTAGAAGAGTACTGTCAGGTCTGGCCCATGTTTTCATGTAGCCAAGTTGATAGGAAATACTGAGGAAAGAAGCAGAGGACAGAAAACAAGTAGGCATTCTTTGGCTGTGATGGCAGAAAGCCAAGTGATAAAACTGCATCTTCGTAGACGTTTCTTTAAGGGAGGTACCGTCCATCTCCCTTTTTTGTATTATTTAGCAGTTGAATGGTCACTTGTATAAAACTGCATACCAGCTACTTTTCTGTTACAGTGTTGCCTCAACATAAAGACAAGAAAGCCATTCTTTTGTTAATATAAAATGCTTTGGGTGGCATTTGTCTTCTGCCTTCCAGAAGCTATTCCTGGGGTGCTTCATGCCACATTCCTGTGTTTCAGATATCCTCTGGTACCTGCAGGCCCGATGCTTCCGAATCTCCTGAACTGCGTCAAAAGTCACCATTGTTTCAGTTTGCCGAGGTAAGTATTGCAGTTTATTCCTACTCATGAGCAAATGGTAATACGAGCTTAAATGTGGGCTGGTGGCAGGACATCGAAGAACTTGACTTAGCTCAGATAACCCTAAGTCAGAAAGTAGTCAAATCTTAGAATTCCAAAAGGCTTACCTGAGGAATAACTGTGTTTATGAAACCTTGTGTTAAATTATACTAAATACTTCTAGACTTAAACTTCATCACTAACTTTTATTCATGGGTAGTAAGGTTAAGAATTATTAGAACTTATTTATTACATGTTAATTTAATAAACAGGCAGACAGAATCACACATGGCTCTTGTCTGAGTAACTAAGACATTTAGTTATACTCTGTCTCAAAGTTTAAAAAAAATTTTTTAAAGATAAAAGGAAGAAAGAAAAAGATAAAAAAGGGGTCAGGATATAGCTCAAAGTGAAAGCCCTGGGATTTGTAGTCCCATTTGACCCAGCTAATCCCCCTCTGGGTGTATTTCCAGAGCAGTTAAAACCAGTGTACCACAGCACTATATGTGTACCCACCCATGTTTATAGTGCACAGTTTGTCATAGGTATATCTTGGAAATAACCCAAATGCCCATCAACCAAGGAATAGATAAAAAAGAGATGTGATTTTTTTGTATAATGGAGTATAATTCAGCCATAGTGAAGGATAAACTGGAGACTTTTACAAGTAAATAGATGCATCTTGAGGCCATACTCGTAAGTAAAATAACCCAGATGCAAATGTGTACACATCGTATTGTCTCCCTAGTGTGAGAGGGTGAAAGAGTAAATGTGATCCCAAATGTACAATAGATATTATGAAATGAGAAGAAAGTTCAAAAAGAAAGAGAAACTGTTTTGGGGGAATGGAAAAAGAAGGAAGGGAAAGGCAGAAGAAAAAAATTATATGTAAAGGACAGTTAAGGTAGGTATTGCTACCTAAGTAACAGTATCACTGGTGAGTAGTATTACTGATTTCTCTTAGTTCATTGAAAAGATAGGTTCGTACTAATATTGTTTGGATGATTAAATGCTGATATACTCTGAGTAATTTAAAGATAACAATACACAGTGTATTAGCCATCATTACCCTCCTATCATATTGTTTTGAGATTTTTTTCTTTAAACACATTTTTAAAAGAAAAGTATATTCCCTGCCCCCACCCCCCGAAACTATAGCATGAGGTAGCATTGTGAAAATTCTTTTGGTGTGGGACAGCCTGTTTGCCTCAGGATGCCTCTGAGAACTGGTTCAGAGAGATGGTGTAGCCGAGCGCAGTACCCTTGCTATCAAGTCTAGAGATTAAACCCCTTCCCCAAATACCTTCATTTATCCTGGAACTCTATATGAGCTCTTTGACTTTTCTTTTAAAGCTTAGGCCACCAGGTCTCCCCTTGCTCCTTTGAATCGTCCTTTATTGCATATTCTCGCTTACTCTCTGCCTTCTTAGAATTTGCCTGAATTTCCCAGTTTTATAGGGGAATCGTATTTTTAGTATTAAATTTTTTGGTACGGGTACATTTTGCTGTCCTTTGAGACTATTCATAGGATTTCTAAGTGCCTTGGTGATAGCACCAAGATCAGACATATATATCTGCTCATAATATTCATAATCTGCCTCTTTCTGTCTGTGTGAGATTGCTATAAAGTGCCGTTTCTTTTGCATCTGTTGTTTTATCTTTTGTGGAGGATTAATGGGAATGAAATGTAATATCTGAAGCAAGACCTACTGAGTTTATACTTCCCAGTACTTCCCCACGGGGCATATGTATGGTCTTTCATATTCATGTGTTATTCCCTGGAAATTACTGTGTATGTGATTTGAACTTTTAGACCTCTGAAATTCCAGTGGGGTTTTTTTTGTTTTGTTTTGTTTTTGTTTTTAATTTATGGTACTGGGGACTGAACCCAGGGCTGTATCCCTGGGTTGCACTGAGTTATATCCCTACCCTAAACCCCTTTGGGGAATTTTTATTTTGAGACAGAGTCTTCCTAAGTTACTGAGTTGTCAGGCTGGGCTCAGAACTGTGACCCTCCACCCTGAGTGCTAGCGTTGCAGTCACGCTGCCCTGTCCCAGCGTTAATGTCACTCTTGAATATCTTCAGAACACTTGGTCAGATCGTATCTATTCATGGTGATTTGTTTGTATCTACTTTACTGTTAATTCAAAAGAAATGTAGAATTAAAATTTTCCTAATGGCTTCAACAGGGAAGTCAATAATTTAGTATTTCTAATAATTCTTCATCATCCGCAACAACTCTCTGATACCATATTCCTACATAGTCCGTAGTTTTTCTAAAAGTCACTTTTCTGAGAAGTGATTTATAATTTTAGTATTAGGATTAAGGAAGCATTTATTGCTTAGTAGTCTTTTTTCCCTCACTATAATCTGATAAAATGAGAATTACATGAATTTGCATATCAGAAAAGTAAGTCTCAGAAAGTTTGTCTGAGCTGCCCAAGGTCGTGTAACAGAGCTAAGATCCAGTCTGAAATACTGGATGTCCATGTGCCTGACCTTACGCGCAGCCTCCGCCTTTAAATACATGTCTTTAAAAAAGAAATCCATTTTAAGACCCTTCTAACTGCTACTTGATGCATACCTAATCCCGTTACCAGGGTTGTGGCAGAGGAGCCAGGCTCTTTATTCTTCCCGAACATCTTGTAGACAGGGCCTTGCCTTGCTTTATCATTTATACTTCCTTCTAAAGGGATCAAGGATGATGACACTCGTGTCTTAATCATTATCAGTCTCTACAATAGAAGCACAGCAGAATCTACTAGCCCAATGAGGGAAATGTCTTGGAGCATTAAAAATGACTTGTTCTCTTTCAGATATCTTCAAGTACATCCCACCCTGAGGCTCCCACAAAACAGTGCCAAGCATCGGCCTTGTTCCAGTTTGCAGAGGTAAACACCACCCCACCTGCCTGTACTCCTTGTTGGTCTCGGAATACTGGAGCTCGGGAAATACTGAAATGGGGTTTCAAGTGACCTACAGTGAACTTTAGGCGTGATCCTTGCATTGTTCATCTAATGCACGGAATATTCATGGCTGTTTGCTAACTTTATTATAATTATCAAATCAGCTCTACCTTTTATACCCATTTTATAAGCATTCATTAAGGTTTCATTTAGAATAGACAGTTGCCAGCAATTTATATATTTCAATTTACCTTGTTTTAATTTAAACACTTAGAAAAACTGTCAACATGAAAAACAAGAAAATTTTAGTTTATTAAATGTTTCTAGTACCAGAATTAGACATGCTAATTTATGAACAACTCTCAAGGCCAACGCAATGGTATGATCTGTTAAATCATCAGCAGTCAGCTTTAAGCGTGAGGTTGCTGCAGCCAGTATTTTTACTAGGGTCTAATCCCAGCCTTAGGTCCAGTTGGCTCTTGCAGGATCTCAGGTTTCTTCGGTTTGCCAACTGGAGAACGCACACACACACTACAAAGTATTTTTTTCTTGTTTTGGCTGATTGCTGAGGAAGCGGACCTGACTTGTTTGACTTTGCCAGGGGAGCTGTGCCCCTCTCGCCCACGTGCTTATTGTGAGCGAGCACAGAGTGGCAAGTAGCGGCAGGTATGTGGCTCACACACACAGGCCGCCTGCTTTGGGTCTTTCCCCTCTTTCTTTTTTATTAATTCCAACCAAAAATACCCATCAAAAACTAACCAACATTTTATAAGATAGAAGATGACAAGCAGGACTACTCTGTTTAATATTGATTTAGTGAATCACTTTGATTCATTTGAGTAAAGAGTGCTGCATAGCGTAACATAAAATGATACCCTTTTGGTAGGAGATAAGCCAGCATCCTACTTTGAAAATGAGAAAAAAATTACTTTCAGCTCTTACATCAAAAATAAAAATAAAAATAAAACCCTAGAATAATAGTTCTGCTTCCTTTGGGGCCACTTGTGTCAGCCACAGACTTTGTGCCATCAGTTGACCTGCTGTGAGTCAGACATTGCTGCCCAGTATTTGCAGGAGCTGCTGAGGGCTTTTCTATAAAACTGGCAAAAAAAAAAAAAAAAAAAAAAAGCATAATGTTACCACTTTGTAAAGAATAAGTTGCTTGATGAATCTGAATAAATTAAGATTTTATCCTAATCTTCCATTCTGATAAACAAGCTGTTATTTTCACTGTCTAGAAAAAGTTTTATAAATACCTTTTGTTTTTCTCTAGTGTTGACACCAATTTATTTGATGCTAATAAGTTTTTCAAAAGTTTTTCAAAAAAAAAAAGAAGAATTTTGGTGTGTTGATTATTTATTTTTATGATATCTGAGCCAGGCTCATCCAACTTTGCAGAAACACTTCCTTTTAGACAGAATTTATTTGCCTATATTTTGTCAGATTAAATTCTTCACTGTAGTGCGAATACTAGAAAGGTGTAATGGCTCATTTTTGACACACCTGATATTTACATATGTATTAACTACTAAGAAGATTCAACCTCATGTAAAATGTCATTGTGGAACATTTCAGCTGGAGTCAGTGTGTGTCTATTAGTGTGATTAAATGGTATTTAAGAAATAACTATCATCCAATTCATCAGGAGCCCCCAAAGTCCTGGGCACCTCCTAGGGGCCAGTTGGACGGTATCATAGCTGCTGTCTCAGAGCTGCTGTCTGCAGAATGAGATTCTGGGCCTCTTAAACAAAATGATTTATTCTGATGCTCAGTAGTCTCCTCAAAGGAACAGAAGGTTTTCTCTTTGTCTCTTAGTTTGACTAAGATTTTTTTTTTTTCTACTAGAGAAGAAAAGAACTTCCTGCTTAGGAGAGACTCGCAAATGGAGACATCTCCAGATGCTCCAGATGTTGTCCCTAGGCTCAACAGCACTTATCCCGAGGGGCTTTTGGTTTTTGACATGAAATGTATGTAGGATTTGAGGACGCTTGATATTGGCAATGTGAGAACTTACTAGAAGTTGTTTCAGTGGTTTGTACTATAGGCATGCATGATGAAATACCAAAATAAAGTGATAATGCGAGAAAGTGGAGGCCAGACAGATAGCTCAGCGTGTAGGCACCTGTCTGGCAAGAGCAAGGCTGAGTTCAATCCCTGGTACTAAAGTAAAAGTAAAATTTACAAGGTATTTGGGCTAGGGAGATAGCTCCATGGCATAAGGGCCTGCCTGGCAAGAATAAGGTCCTAAGTTTGATCCCTAGTACAAAAAAAAAAAAAAAAAAAGCAGAGGAAAAAAGTGTAATTTTATTATGTCTTGGAATTCAGTGCAGTCCTCTCCTTCCAACTCACAGAATATTGCTTTTCTCAGGTATATTTTGCATAATTTCTAATCAAATTAAAGCAGGCATTATTTAATTGTGAATTTTATGTCTTATAATTGAGCAGCTTAGAGTTCTCTAGGGATGTACAATGTGGTCATTTTTCTTATAAAACAAACAAAATCCTGAGTCTCAATATCTAACATCTTATTATTTGACCTTATTATCAGGCCAACACTGGGCTGGTTTGCATAAGACCAAGAGCTAACTAGATGAACAAATAAAATTATCTACTAAAGTCTGCAAAAGCATGTATATTGCAGTATAAATAGAATAGGCTGTGATTATTGAGGTGATATCCCTAAAGCTCTTATAATTATTTCATAAGGCACTGTCACCTTTGAGGAAACAAAGCCTCATGATTTTTTTTTCTAATTAGTCCATAGTGAAGGTTCTCACACTTTAAAACATGTCAGAGTCACAGAAAAGGTTTGTTCAAACACAGATTTCTAGGCACTACTCCCAAAATTTGATATATCAAGCCTAAAGTTGAGCCTTGGAATTTGTATTTACAACAAGTTTTCTTTTAGGGTACCACAGTTCATAACCAGTGCTCTAGAGCCGGCATGGAGTTGCACTCTGTATCCCAGCTTTTGGAAGGCTGAGGCAAGAAACTCGCCTGTGAGCTTGAGGGCAGCCTGGGACACATAGTGAGCTCAAGCCAGCTAGAGCTGCACAGTGAGACCCTGCCTCAGAAAACAGAGCAAAAAACCAAATTACGACCAATGCTCTTATAGTTATTTTTGACCCCCAAATTATTAAATTATTATTGTTATTACTTTCTCATATCTCTATTCTCAAGGGGAAAGGGTAGAAGAGAGGGTATATACTTGAAAATTGCCCAGTGGACTACTGCACATCCCTGTCCCTTTGAAGAGGGAAAGGGCCCTGATCCTATTGTCACCTATTTAGAGAAAATTGAGTGTTTTTATAATTTAGGAGACAGTTCACTGTTTTAAACATGTTTAGTTTTATAATATCATTTTTTAAGATTAGGCTTACAAAATTCTTAGAAACCATTCCTGCTAATTTTATTTACAAACTCTAGGAAGAAACTTAGTTATATCTTCCCTTAGAAAGAGGTCATTTATTGTGTAATACATTTATCCAAGAAGCACACATTTTAAAAAACAATAAGGCCTGAGTATTTCCTTAAGTTAATTTTTTTTCCCTTTCATATAAAGCCCTGTGTCTCTGTCTTTTCAAGCTGAGAAGGGTATTTTTTTCTTCTAACCAAATCTTATCATCTTAAAGTCCATTCAAGTTAATCTGTATAGAGCCATGAAGCTCAATAAGACACAATTTTGTTGATGGGTTCCTTATGAATGTTTGCATTAAAGGAGAGAAAGTAATATCTCTGCGTTATAGGATCTGGAAGGAAATATGCAGAGGCTGCCTCCTGCCTCACCTCAGCCTGTCCCCCATTTCTTACTGACAGTCGTGTTTCATCCAGATATAACTGGGACCTCCAATTGGCTATCACTCTGTCTTCCCAGGCTCTGATTCATTAAGTTACTCAGAACGGAGTTTCATATCTGCATCTTTTGTTGTTTACAGGTAGAGAGACACACCAGTCACTTTTTAGATCTAGTTCACTAAAAACTGATGGCCAAGTATAATGCCAGAAGGGAGCTATTGTTCCTCATTATGTCTCAAGTCTAAAAGCCATGACTGAGCCACACATTCCTTCTCTACTTTGTGGTTGGCTCTTAAACCTAGAGCATATCTTTGTGTTGAACAGTTAGATATTTACTTTAAAGACACAGTTAATTTACATGTATGAGATAAATAGAATTCAACATGAAAACTTTTCTTAGAAGATATTTACCTTGGCAATGTAAGTACAACCATAATCTTAAAAAATTTAAGATTTTGTCGCAGTTGGATATGAGCACTAAGTTCAAATTTAATGCATTCATATTTATGATGAAATGCTCAATATGTTATGGAATATTACACTCAATAAAAATACTATATATACTTACATAGAAACTCCAATGAACACATTACAATGTATGTTTTATTGGCCACGTTAATACTTCCTTAAAAGATCAGACATCCTTACAGTGTTCATTTGTCCTTTGATTATTTTATTAATTCAGCAGTTATAGGTCATTTTCTCCCAGGCCACAGTGTTTATAACTCCCCCCCCCCCCGATAATTGCTGAAGACTTCCACCACGACATGAGTTGGTTCTGATTGATGCCGCCTGTTTCCTTGGTGTGTTCATCTCCCTCGGCAGCACTTCACATTCATGGTCATAGTATTTCTTAGCACTTTTGCTGTGACTCATCTACTGTTTCAGTCATCCTTTTGCTAACCTGTATGAGTGAACACTGGTTGTATGGACATTACATAACTCTCAGGATGAGAGACAATCATGAAGTTAGTAGATTTCTAAGTACCATCCAGTAGGAAGAAAATGAAAAACATAAAGCCATGCACAAACATTTAAGAGAACACTATAGTAGGAACACCCAGCAAAAGAGAGTGGCAGAGAGTGACCTGAGAAGTAGGGCCGTGCAGTAATAGAACCACAGGGACAAGTTTCCTAAAAAAAGGATTGTCAATGATGCTGTGGAGAAATCCAGATGAGGATCAGGCCATAAGAATTAACAAATGTCAATTTTCTAGCAGTTGCCCCACCCTAAAAAAAATCTAAGAAGTCAAAAGACATTTTTAGGAAACAGATCTCACTGCCAAGTCATTCCATGAAAATGTTATTGTTAGAACATTATGGAATGTTGACCTGCTGAAATATGCTGAACCTCCCCCACACGTTCCTCCCTGGAAGTCAGCCTTCTAGCATTCTTATGCATTGAAAAGCCTGCACTGCCTGTACCTATAACTAGGTAAAAATCCTCCCAGAGGCAATGAGAGAAATTGTCCTTCCTGAGCATAGGGGTTCCTCTTGAAAGCCTAGACACCATCTTGAGCCTCTACATGCGCAGGTGTGCATTCACCTGGAGGTAGAGGAGGCATCTGTGTGTCTGTAGTTGTTCACCGAGTCTCTTGGCTCCCATACACTGCATTAGATAGAAGATAATACAGCAGTGAGCAAACACAGAAAGGAGGAGCAGAATCTACATCTGGAAGACAACAGCAGAGGGAGCCAGTGGAAGGATCAGAGAAGCAGCCGGAGGCGTGCACTTTGGCGCCAGCCAGTGGCTGTCCTTCAAGGATTCTTGATCATGCAACTGCGTTAGTAATCTACAAATCACTACATTTAATAAACATTGTCCTCAGATATTTTCACTTTTAATTCTGTTCAATTTCAGCATTTTAGGAATTTTGTTAAAATGCTGTGTCTATTAGTGTTAATGATAAATCATTAATGCTAATAATTATAGCACATATTGAAAGCATAATGTGTCCTCAGCACTGTCCTGCTCACTAGCATTAAACCTAATGTTCACAATGTAATATGGGGTGGGTGTTGTCTGGATTTTATAGGTAAAATAAATGAGACTCAAAGTCTTGATTATTTGCGTAAGTTCACATAACAAAAAGTGCTGGAGTCAGGTCTGTCTTCTAATATACACTACAACCTCAACTTAAGAGCCTGGCATTTGTGTTCAGTATTTTATTCCTTCATTCACTGAGCCAGTGATATTAATGTATTTGTTTTCTTTTATTCTAGTGATAAGGTGAATAATTGAATTCAACTTGTCTAGAAAAAGTTAAAGTTGGGCTGGTGAGATGGCTCAGTGGTCTAAAGCACCTACTTAGAACAAGCTTAGCAAATCACAGGGACCGCGGTTCAATCCCCCAGCACCACATGCCAGCCAGCCCCGCCCCTGGTGGGCTGAGCTGGCCACACACACACACACACACACACACACAAATAAATAAAATTAAAAAAAATAAAAAAGCAAGAAAAAGTTAAAGTGGCATTTATCAGTGAAAATTCAACTAGGGGAAAATATTCCAAACTTTAGAAAAACTGAGCTCCATAAGTTGTCATCTAATGAAAAAAATGATTGGAATGAACATGAAAGGACTATTAAAACTGATAGCACCTACAATGAGAGCATCCTCACAGTTTTCTTAGCACAGACCCTTTATGATGGTTGCTGTAGCTATTAATAAATAGATTCTTCCATAAAGCCCCTTATTCAGCAGGTGTAATTCTAGCCAAGAGCACCCAGTTTCTCCCGGAACGGATAACTCTATAAAATCTCTGTGGCACCTGGAAGAGGGGGTCACCTGTAAAGAAATAGTTACCAGGCAAGGTTGCCTCCTGAACTGAGTTGAGAAATAGCTCTGTCAAGACTGAGGAAGAATTCAGAAGCACAAAGACTGTGAACACCTTAGAAAATAGCCGCTCTAATGATGCGGGAGTCTTTCTAAGGTTCCTAAGTGTCTTCAAGAGCGAGGGTCCTGCTGGGCGTGGAGGTGCTCATGTGTATAGTCTCAGCACCTCGTAGGCTGAGGTAGGACAGTTAGTACATAGCAAAACTCTTATCTCAAAAAATCCTTCTCTGTTGTTACTGAGGCTAGAAATTGAAAAAGGATTTTTCATTCAAAGCTGAGAAAGAGCACCGCTGCTCACTTTTATCAGTGCCCAGTGTTCATCCGTATTTGCAGAATATGGATAATGCAGTGTGTAGTGGGTGTCTGTGCACCATATACCGCAATGTAGCATAGGTCCTTACCTTCCAGTTCACATTTGCTGTTTAATGGTCAGTCTTTGAGTGTACATTAAAGCATATTCTCAAAGCCAAGGGCAGCATTATATATATATATATATATATATATATAGCCTCTTATTTTTCCATGCTTCTGTCATATTGTATATCATACACATAAAGGACTTGCAGAAAAATAAAATCTGTATGGACTTCTTGTTATCCTCCCAGAGAGGTCTCATACAAAATAACTCTGAGTTGTTTTCATATTTGGCCAGTTGATGAACTGGTACTCAGATAGAAATGGAAATATACATCTTGCTTTAAGGTTAGAGAACTAAACTAGAATAAGCTGTAAAGGCCACACCTTCCCCTTCCCCTTCCTTCTTCCTTCTTCCTTCTTCCTTCTTCCTTCTTCCTTCTTCCTTCTTCCTTCCTTCTTCCTTCCTAACTGTAGAGAAAATGAAGTTCAAAGTGATCATCCCACGTATGACATGTTTATAGTTATTTGGTCCTTGAAGGCAATGATATTCTCAAAAACAAAGCAGAATTCCTAAAGATGTATGAATGAGTCTGGTATTGAAAATTAATATTCTTTATGTGAATTGTTTTCAATGTAGATCTCTTCAAACACTTCGAAGTTGGGTGGTGCTGAGCCTGTAAAGCGCTGTGGGAAGTCTGCGCTCTTCCAACTGGCAGAGGCAAGTTACTAAGAATATAGAGAGATAAGATCTGCAGAGCTGAAAGTTACAAAATAATTACAAGTATTCCTTACCCTCTTCCACTTCAACTTTGACCATAAAATATGTAATATATAATTTTCAAAACTTTATTTTAAGAAAAAGAAATTTTGCTACTAAACATCATTAAGCATTGAAAAAGGTTATCTGGTAAAATTGCAAAATCTTTTTCACAGGTAGTATTTTAAAATAAGGTCAGTTGTAGTCGCAGATTGGCTAGGCCCAGCCTGAGCCCAGAGGAATAGCCTAGCTCATTTTCCTCTGCTCTGAGCCTCAGACCATCTGTAAATCTCTAAAAGTCATTGCTATTAAATTGGGGTTGAGGTTTTCATTTTGTTTATTTATTTTCACAAGGAGCTCACACAAGATGTTCGAACATTCGATTTTCTGGCTTTAGGTGTCTTTCTGATGTGACCCAGGTATCGCAGGCTGTAGTGTCACCCTAAGAGAGTGGGGGTGTGTTCCATAGGAAGGTGCCTGAAGTGGCTGTCGCTGAGGTGGCAGTCGCTGAGGCAGCGTGGGGGTGGCTTTCTATGCCAGGCTGCGACTGCTTCAGGAAAATGTGTGGAAGGAAAGAAAGTCCTCAGCACTGGGAAACCACAGGAGCAGCTTCTCAACAGCTACAGTAAAGGAGGACGCACAAAGAGCAGGATTCAGAAGCACTTGCACAACGCTTTCTAGTTTCTTGTTTTTCTGGCTTGTATCCCCATGAGCTTGCTCTGTTCTTTTATGAGTGATACTGTCCTTTAATCAATTCTTTGTAATTTATCACATTTAATGAGATGACCTATTTGCTAAAATCTCTAAATTTTATGATAGTTTGTATCTTAGAGATTTAAGACTTTAAAATACTTGCTGTCTTTAGCCTTTTAAAACCCAGTCAAATATAAATTAGATGTATAGAAACTAGACCCAAAATGCTGACGTACACATCCGGGGGACACCCTCGCCCGCTGGTGTCTGGCGCTAAGCTGGCTTCTTGCGCAGTGCGAATTCAGCTCCAGTCGGAAGGCTGCACTCAGCTGGAGAACTCTAGGAAAAGCTGAGGAGGACAGCAAGGAATAGCTCCAAAAGGAACTGTGTGAGTCAGTGCACACTACTGCTTCAGACAAAAGCTCTGGTGATCTATAGACAGAACTTCTCAAAAGAAGTCTTAGTAAACAGACTGGTGTCAAGGATTTTCTGGATTTTGTAGATGATACAGTGATTGGTTGCAAAGAAGCAACTTCTTGAATAATAAGAATGCATGAGCCCTCTGCATTTCCTGGTTATGCGATTTGTTTGTGTGCATGTACACAAATGTACATATGGTTACTTCAGTATGAAACAACAGCAAATTACAAAACTAACTTTCACTATGTAGTATTTATCTTTATTAAACCTTTTTTTAGAAAGGTATGAACCTTTGGGATATTTTGGTGTGAGGATACTAAAGAGAGAAATTTGTCTTCTCATTTTCTTTCAGTCATTAAAAAAAAAGATTCCTTATTAAATCGGAGCTCATTAAAAAGAACACTCTTCTAATTTGTAGGGATGCATCCCAGATATGAAGCAGATGCTGTGATTTACCAGATGTTTGAATGTTGGCATCATAATTTTAAGGGGGTAAAATGACAGAAATAAGCCTATTCTAATTATGGCAAGTCAGCTTATACTCAGACTTAGTTTATTTTAACAACTGAGTAAAAATATATGATTTGATGAGTCAAAGTTGCTAAAAAGAAATTTTCCAAGAAAATTTTCTCCCATTATTATTTGTCCCACTTGATTATGATGTCATGACATCAATAGAATGTGTTCCAGAATGATATCCTAAAGGCTTCCCAGTTTTTATTGTTACTGTTGTGTTTTCTATGTTGTTGTTGGTTTTGTTTTGTATTGTTGGAGACAGGATCTATATAGTCCAGATGGGCCTAAACTCACTATGTAGCCCAGGCTGAACTCAAGCTTAGGGTCCTCCTACCTCACTGTACAGGTGGGTGGCACCATGCTTGGCTCTTCTGAGTTTTTTTTTTTATTTTTTATTTTTTTTTTTTGCAGAACTGGGGATTGAAGTCGGGCCCTTGCACTTGCCAGGGAAGCACTTATTCCACTGAGCTATCTCCCCAGCCCCTTCTTCTGAGTTTTTAATTAAGCATAATTGTGTGCACAGTGGATTAACTGTCTTCAAATAATCACCGACAAATGTTTTCTTAATTTTTCTATCTCTTGTGTATTTTGGTACTCATTTTTCTTTAAGATAGTAGAATGTTTCTTTTTTTAGAATGTTTATTTCTTAGACCTCTTTGTAAAAGTAAATGAATACAACTGATTATTGAAGAATCTTTCATGTTGCCTAGTAGAACTAACACTATGTCAAACCTGAAGAGACAGCTTTAACTGCACAGGTTCTGTCCTGAGACCACATCCCTTTGGATCAGTTGGCACCTCTTCCTCATATATAAAGTACTTTAATATCACTCCTGCCTGTGGCATCCCCTGAAAATGTCATCACTCTTTTATAGATGTAGGAACCAACAACAACAACAAAAAGGCATAAGCATGGGCAGTTAGTTTTACTTACATCATCCATCTTCTGTGTCTAAACCAGGGCATCTAGACCTTATGAAGGTCCAGGAACCAGCCCCCAAATTAAGCATTTGCCCCTCGCCAACCCAGTCCTGTGGGCTGGGGTGGGGAGAATGACTAGATCTCCCTTAAAATAAGGTGGTTTCTTGCAAGAAATGCCTTCTTAGAAGCAAGAAATATTTTAGACATAGTCCCACTTACCAGTGTTCTGTGTACCTACCTAAACAGGCAAAAATACCACCCCCCAAAAAGTAAAGAAAGGTAGTAAAAGGAGCAGTCTTGGATTGGCCTGCACTCTGTTCTGTACTGGAAGATCCTTCCTCTTTCGGTGGCCCTGGAGCCTGGGAATGCCCTGGGGAAGACCCCATTCAGGCATATGCTTGCATTTTCATGGGTAGACTTTTAGTAGCTGAAACACGACCTGAAATTCTGGATTTGTTCCAGGTATTTGTTAAGGGATCTGCTAGCCAGGAAGGGAGATTTCTGCTGATGTCAGGGAATTGAAAAAATACAGTGCTTTGGTTTGAGCTTTTTTGAGGTGTATACAGTTTAGTTACTTTATTTGTACAAGTACTATGATACATTGTGTTTCATTCATTTTGAGACGAATTAGGTCAGGTCATATAAGAACAATGAAGCATACTTCCTAAAATGATTGTTGTGTTATAGTTGCTGTAGTTGGATACCCTGCAGAGGTGTCTAAAGATATAATTTGATCTATACATTTCAGAGATTCTATGCTTGAAGATTCCTAGTCCCAACGTTGTTTAATTAACATGTAGAGCAGTTTATTCATTTATTATAACAAACATTAATTATTAAATGTCTACTCCAAACCAGTAATAGTGGGTGTACACACATTTTTAGTACACTGAGGACTAAACCTACAAACTACCCAGATCACTGGTAAAAGAATTCCTGAACCCAGGTTCAGTGTTGATGCTTTGGATTATCTTTAAGGGCTGAGCACAAACCTGATAGTACTGTTCTTAGGGCTACATGTAGTTTTTCAGAAATAATTTTTAGTATTCTTTAAGGTAGATTTTAAAATATAATTATTTTATGCAAGTTTTAATATTTACCCTCGGATAATAATGACTGATGTTTGAGAATCCACTGTGAATTAGCCACAATTTTAATACTGTTTGCTTACTAATTTAGTTCATACAACTGTCCCCTGAGGCAAGTAATCTTGTCACTACCATTTACACACTAGGAAACCAAAGGACACAAAAGGTAGGTAATTTAACTAACTTAAGGTCATGTGCACAGTTAAGTGTTAGAGCTTAGGTAGGAACCAAGACAGTCTGTCTCCATCGGTTGTGTTCTTAAACTCTGGGTTGTCCTATCATCTTGTTTTAGCCTGCACGTTTCTTGTTATAGGCATGTGAGTATTATAGAAGTCTTATGGAAGACAGCCCACTCCTACACGCGTATGTGTGGCTGAGTAAGATGACAGGTGTTCAAGAGTGCTGTCAAAGAAGGAGAGCTTATATTTCCTTTTCAGAAAATGTCTGTGCTTTTGAAACTGCCAAGATCCATCTTACACCCTTATAGAAATGCCTACTCATAAATGTGCTTGGGAAGATAGTATAAGGGTTATAAGAAGCTATGGAGTACAGCTCTTCAAGAAGCTGACTCTAGTGGCAAAGAGACCAGATAGTAAAGGTTAAGGAATAAAAAAGAAAAACAGCACATGGTGATTTTAATGAGGAATCATCCAGTGAAATGATGAAACTTCACTTGTGTGAAGAATGATACACAAAGTGAATGTATAAAACTAAGAAGGAGAAAAACTCGTATCAGCAGAAAGGTTCTGGGACCAAGCGTAGGGTGGAGAGCATGAAAAAGCGTTAATGAAGTTGTTTCAGAATAGTTGGAGTTAGAAACTAGCGAACTTGAGGCTGCCTCCCAGCTGCGGAGGTACTTTATTTGACCCATGTTTTCTTGTATATATTTTACATTTCAATTAGTGCCTAATATTTTAAAACTGGATTTCCAATAAATGCAGCATTCTAACTGCCCTTGAAAATTTAGAGATTCTAGATAGTCTGGGGCAGCCTTCCTCTGTGCGAATAATTGGCCAGGGCTGATTAATGGCTCCCCTCTTAGGTATTTGCTCTCCAAGTGACCCTGCTCTCTGTTCCGTGCTGAGCCCTGACTCGGAGGCCAACAATCACTACCGTCACCAAGGTGCACTTAGCTGCATCCCTCCTTTATACTCTACACCCATCCATAGCAGAGATTATGACTTGTGCATAATGAAGTGGAGAGATGAGAAAGATAACCGAAAAAGACAAAGGGAGCAGAAGAGATAGGTAGGTGCTGTGAGTACATTAAGCTGGCAGGGGTAGAGGTCTGTGCTGAGAGACTGTGAAAGGTACAGGTGGACT